CTAATAGTCAGAAGGTTAAAGGTCACTTGTTAATAGAAGGTTAAAGGTCACCTGTTAATAGAAGGTTAAAGGTCACCTGTTAATAGAAGGTTAAAGGTCACTTGTTAATAGAAGGTTAAAGGTCACTTGTTAATAGAAGGTTAAAGGTCACTTGTTAATAGAAGGTTAAAGGTCACTTGTTAAATTTTCAGAAGGTTTAAGGACACGTATCATTAAACAGAGGATTCAATCTCATTTGTTGATTGTTAAAGGTTAAAGGTCACTCGCTGAACTTTCATGTCGATAAAAAAATGTTTGTGGATATAAATGGACATTCTTTTGTGGATATAAATGGACATTATTTTGTGGATATAAATGGACATTCTTTTGTGGATATAAATGGACATTCTTTTGTGGATATAAATGGACATTCTTTTGTGGATATAAATGAACATTATTTTGTGGATATAAATGGACATTATTTCGATTTTTTTTTCTTTTACATCAAGAAGGTCGATAATCTCCTAATTAACTTTTGTGTTTTCTAATTACCTTATCCAGGTAAACAAAGTTCTCTACCTCATTAATTACTCACCTTAGAAATTCAGCTTACTTGGCTGATACACTGATACTGTAGCTACTTGAAAGTTATCTTTTCAAAAATGTAATGCTAAAATGAAAGTTTGTAATATATATATATATATATATATATATATATATATATATATATATATATATATATATATATATATATATATATATATATATATATATATATATATATATATATATATATATATATATATATATATATATATATATATAGGCTATATATGTGAATATAATTAAAATCAGCAGATAGTTAAGATTAAAATATCACAAAATTGCAAAGAATTGTTCCTGATGTAAGGGAAATAACCAGCTTTTTAAAAAAATCTTTATATTAGGCAAAAACACAAGCTTAAGCGAAAATCCTGAAATTGTAAAATAGTTGTTATTTAGAGTTAGTTTTTAGTAGATATATTATTTAAAATTGTTTTGATTGTTAATGGTTTTATGATGTTTTCGTTTGTATTAAGTTATTTATTTTTTGGGGTCTAGTAGGCCTTATGAAGTCGTAGAACTAAGTTTAAATGATTCCAAACAATGACATTTACATTTTAGGAAAATATATTTAAAATTAATTTTAACCAAACATTTATTTCAATTAATTTACAAATAATTATTGAAATTTAATTTAAAAACGAAAACAACAATTATTTAGGCGTCGCAAAAAATAAGTAATTGTAACAAAAATGTAATCAATGTTAATTAAAGTGGGAAAAAAATTAATTTTACTGTACCTAAAAATCAGCCTATGAACAGTCACTTAGGAGTCTCACACGTGTGTGTGATGGGGGTAAGTTGAGACTTCTCTCGTCAGTGTGACGACATCATGTGGTGTTGTGGTGTTAAGTAAGGGGGACCACTGCAGGTGAGCGGTGAGGAGGAAGTTGCATCATGCAGACTTAACCTCAGGGTGAGCTGGGGGACCCGACACTTGAGCGAAGACCTCCGACACGACAAGATGTTCCAACTCGTTATGGTATCTGCACTTATGGTGCTGGCGTTTGGGTGAGTGATGGTCTTTTTTTGGTGGTGCTTTTTGGGTAAATGATAGTGCGTTTTTGGGGTTATTTTTGGGAGAGTGATGGTTTTTTTTGGTGGTGCTTTTTGGGCAATGGATAGTGCGTTTTTGGGGTTATATTTGGGTTAGTGATGGTGGTTCTGGAGTTTGGGTTAGCGGTGGTTTTTGTTGCTGGTGCTGTTTGCGTAAGTGATGGTGTGTTGTTGTGGTGCAGTTTGGGTGAGGGATGTTGTGCGTTGATAAGGTGCATTATTGTAAGTAATGGAATGTTGTTGTGGTGTTGTTTCGTTAATGGTGATGTGCTGTAGTGGTGCAGTTTGGGTGAGTGATGGTGTGTGTTGTTGTGGTATTGTTTCGGTAAGTGATGGTGTGTTGATGTAGTGTAGTATGGGTGAGTGATGGTGTGTGTTGTTGTGGTTTTGTTTCGGTAAGTGATGGTGTGTTGATGTAGTGTAGTATGGGTGAGTGATGGTGTGTGTTGTTGTGGTGTTGTTTCGGTAAGTGATGGTGTGTTGATGTAGTGTAGTTTGGGTGAGGGATGGTGTGTGTTGTTAAGGTGCATTTTGTAATGATATGGTTTTTACTTTTGGCGTTAAATGAAAAGGTTCAATATATTTCTTGATCAATCCGTCATACCATGTACAGCAGAATTAAAAAAAAAAACAACCTCTAGTTCATATACATGAAAGTTAAAATAAAACTTCTATATATATAATTCTCTTCTTGGAGACGATAGAAAACACCAAGCTGTAAGCGCGCTCCCTACCACCCGCACCCCTACATGGTCTGGTGAGCTTAGGTTCACGCTAAAAGTTTACAATCGTAGAGCCGGGTTTAGTGACGGCTATTAGGGGCAGATAATGTAGTTTGAAACGATTTTAAACTTAGGGGAGGTAACTGAGAGGAGTTTGCTTTCAAGGGGGGGGGGAGGGGTGGTAGGGGTTGGGGTTGGGGGAAAGGAGGGGGTATCGTCCTTAACGACCATCTGATATTGTTTTAAAGCAAATATTTTCAGTGGCAGCATTGGTACTGTCGAATTCACAAATTATGAATTACTGAAAAGTAGAAAATAAAACAATTAAATAGCGGCGTATGATACGCCGCGGGTCGGCTCGTATTTATTAATTCTGAAAAATTAAATTATTAAGTTTGACCGCGATAACTATAGTAATTTAAGAAAAGGGAAGTAACAAATATTTCTTTACTGAATGATTAATTTATCTAGTTATGTCCCCGTTCGAGAAACTTAAAAAAATTTTTTTTTTTAAAATAACTTTTTTTTTTTTAACATTAATAAACTGATCGAATTGCTAAACAAATTTTTAAAGATTATTTGTTTTAGAAAGACTTTAATATTTTTTAGTATGATTTGAGTTTGTTAAAATTGACACCAAAGATGAAAAAACAAATGTCCATGAACGTGTTTGTTCCATGTCTGCTGGCGTGAGCAGTGACCACACGCCCGAGCACACGAATGAGCAGAGAATCGACTACCTGTACCAGGCCCTGGATGGCCTTGAGGACGTCATCATTAAGTTGGAGGACACCATTGAGGACCTCACCAACGGTAAACACACACACACACAAACACCATAGAGGACCTCACTAACGGTAAACACACACACACACACAAACACCATAGAGGACCTCACTAACGGTAAACACACACACACACACAGACACACACACACACACACACACACACACCATTGAGGACCTCACCAACGGTAAACACACACACACAAACACCATAGAGGACCTCACCAACGGTAAACACACACACACACACAAACACCATAGAGGACCTCACCAACGGTAAACACACACACACACACACACACAAACACCATAGAGGACCTCACCAACGGTAAACACACACACACACACACAAACACCATAGAGGACCTCACCAACGGTAAACACACACACACAAACACCATAGAGGACCTCACCAACGGTAAACACACACACACACAAACACCATAGAGGACTTCACTAACGGTAAACACACACACACACAAACACCATAGAGGACCTCACCAACGGTAAACACACACACACAAACACCATAGAGGACCTCACCAACGGTAAACACACACACACACACACAAACACCATAGAGGACCTCACCAACGGTAAACTCACACACACACACACACAAACACCATAGAGGACCTCACCAACGGTAAACACACACACACACACACACACACACAAACACCATAGAGGACCTCACCAACGGTAAACACACACACACACAAACACCATAGAGGACCTCACCAACGGTAAACACACACACACACACACAAACACCATAGAGGACCTCACCAACGGTAAACACACACACACATACACCATAGACGACCTCACCAACGGTAAACACACACACACAAACACCATAGAGGACCTCACCAACGGTAAACACACACACACACACAAACACCATAGAGGACCTCACCAACGGTAAACTCACACACACACACACACACAAACACCATAGAGGACCTCACCAACGGTAAACACACACACACACACACACACAAACACCATAGAGGACCTCACCAACGGTAAACACACACACACAAACACCATAGAGGACCTCACCAACGGTAAACACACACACACAAACACCATAGAGGACCTCACCAACGGTAAACACACACACACACACACACAAACACCATAGAGGACCTCACTAACGGTAAACACACACACACACACACACACAAACACCATAGAGGACCTCACCAACGGTAAACACACACACACACACACAAACACCATAGAGGACCTCACCAACGGTAAACACACACACACAAACACCATAGAGCACCTCACCAACGGTAAACACACACACACACACAAACACCATAGAGGACCTCACCAACAGTAAACACACACACACACACACACACAAACACCATAGAGGACCTCACCAACGGTAAACACACACACACACACACACACAAACACCATAGAGGACCTCACCAACGGTAAACACACACACACACAAACACCATAGAGGACCTCACCAACGGTAAACACACACACACACACACAAACACCATAGAGGACCTCACCAACGGTAAACACACACACACAAACACCATTGAGGACCTCACCAACGGTAAACACACACACACACACACAAACACCATAGAAGACCTCACCAACGGTAAACACACACACACACAAACAGCATTGAGGACCTCACCAACGGTAAACACACACACACACACACACAAACACCGTAGAGGACCTCACCAACGGTAAACACACACACACACACACAAACACCATTGAGGACCTCACCAACGGTAAACACACACACACACACACAAACACCATTGAGGACCTCACCAACGGTAAACACACACACACACACACAAACACCATAGAGGACCTCACTAACGGTAAACACACACACACACAAACACCATTGAGGACCTCACCAACGGTAAACACACACACACACAAACACCATAGAAAACCTCACCAACGGTAAACACACACACACACACACACACACCATAGAGGACCTCACCAACGGTAAACACACACACACACAAACACCATAGAGGACCTCACCAACGGTAAACACACACACACACAAACACCATAGAAGACCTCACCAACGGTAAACACACACACACACAAACACCATAGAGCACCTCACCAACGGTAAACACACACACACACACAAACACCCTAGAAGACCTCACCAACGGTAAACACACACACACAAACACCATAGAAGACCTCACCAACGGTAAACACACACACACGTCAGATCCCCCGACATAAATGGCCAGAACCCCCTCCCCCCGACATAAATGGACAGACCCGGACATAAATTGACAGACGCCGACATAAATTGACAGACGCCGACATAAATTGACAGACTGAAATATAAAAAGTCAGACCCTTACATTCTAAATCTAGCCTTAAATGTTGTATATTCCCCGAATTCGACACAAAATGCCATAATCCCACACAAAATGCCATAATCCCAAACAAAAACCAAGCATGAAAGCAGATTCCAACACAAGAAACAGTCTTTGATGCTTTCTAATAAAAAATAAATAAACAACAATAAATATATAGCCTCGTCTTGGTTGAAATGATTACATTTTGTTTTGTTCACTTATGATTCGTATCTCGGCACCTGCTTTCAGAGACGAAGCCCGAGTGGTCACCTTGCAGTAAACAGTGTGGGGGTGGGTTCAAATCCCGCAAGGTCTTGAAGTGTATTCACACCAAAGACGATGATTGTATGGAGGTCATGTTCTGCAATACTAAGCCATGCGTAGCAAGTAAGAGTGTTGTGGTTGTGGTTTGTGTGGCTGTGGTTGGTGTGGCTGTGGTTGGTGTGGCTGTGGGTGGTGTGGCTGTGGGTTGGTGTGGTTGTGGGTGGGGTGGTTGTGGTTGGTGTGGCTGTGGGTTGGTGTGGCTGTGGGTTGGTGTGGTTGTGGGTTGGGGTGGTTGTTGGTTGGTGTTTGGGTTGGTGTGGTTGTGGGTTGGTGTGGTTGTGGGTTGGTGTGGTTGTGGGTTGGTGTGGTTGTGGGTTGGTGTGGTTGTTGGTTGGTGTGGTTGTGGGTTGGTGTGGTTGTGGGTTGGTGTGGTTGTTGGTTGGTGTTTGGTGTTTGGGTTGGTGTGGTTAAGGGTTGGTGTGGTTGTGGGTGGTGTGGTTGTGGGTGATTTGGTTGTGGGTTGGTGTGGTTGTCGGGTGGTGTGGTTGTGGGTGGGGTGGTTGTCTGGTGGTGTGGTTGTGGGTTGGTGTGGTTGTGTGTTGGATGTGGTTGTGGGTTGTTGTGGTTGTCGGTTGGTGTGGTCGGGTGGTATGGCTGTGGGTTGGTGTGGTTGTGGGTTGGTATGGCTGTGTGTTTGTATGGCTGAGTTTCGGTTTGGCTTGGGGAGCATGGAAATGTTGTTATAGCATCATTTAAGACGTAAACTATTTAATGTTTATTATTAGTGTTTTTCGCCAAGTCAGTCGATTTTTTTCTTGTCCACACAGAGCCACCAATGTACCGTGAGGCAATCTGCAGGATGGCCAAAAACCCAACATACAACACTGACTACAGCATCAACGGTGTTGTCACTCTTAAACAGGTGAGGGTGGGGGTGTGGGAGTACAGGTGTGGTGGGAGTGTGGGAGTAAAGGTGTGTGGGAGTACGTGTGTGTCGGAGTGTAGGGGTACAATTGTGGTGGGAAAAAGGTTTCTCCAACACACTATGTACAATTACCACCACTAACCCCATTACCCTCTTCACTTCCTCCAAAATTAAGTCACACATGTTTAAAACCTCTTTATCAACTCTCCAGGTCTCCGGCCAGCCCTTGAAAGTCTATGTGGACATCACATCCCAGTCTAAGCTGACCGCCGACAGCAAGCTGAGGAAGCACGGGTTCCACATCCACCAGACGGGTGACATCCGGGATACGTGCGACGCCTCTGGCTCACACTTCAACCCTGAGGGCATGCACCATGGGGACATCAGCAGTAGCATCAGGTTAAGGTTAAGATCAACACCAAGTTACCTTAGGGGAGGGAGAATGGGGGCGTGTTTCCGTGACGTCAGCTACCTTTGGGGAGGGAGAATGGGGGCGTGTTTCCGTGACGTCAGCTACCTTTGGGGAGGGAGAATGGGGGCGTGTTTCCGTGACGTCAGCTACCTTTGGGGAGGGAGAATGGGGGCGTGTTTCCGTGACGTCAGCTACCTTTGGGGAGGGAGAATGGGGGCGTGTTTCCGTGACGTCAGCTACCTTTGGGGAGGGAGAATGGGGGCGTGTTTCCGTGACGTCAGCTACCTTTGGGGAGGGAGAATCGGGGCGTGTTTCCGTGACGTCAGCTACCTTTGGGGAGGGAGGATGGGGGCGTGTTTCCGTGACGTCAGCTACCTTTGGGGAGGGAGAATCGGGGCGTGTTTCCGTGACGTCAGCTACCTTTGGGGAGGGAGAATGGGGGCGTGTTTCCGTGACGTCAGCTACCTTAGGGGAGGGAGAATGGGGGCGTGTTTCCATGACGTCAGCTACCTTTGGGGAATAGGGCAGAGTTTCTTTCAGGCATTTCACCAGGTGGGGTGGGGGGTGGGGGAGAGGGCGCACTGCCTTCCAGTTCCCATAAGCATATCCCCCGCCGTCCTTTCCAGGTGAAATAGAAAACAAATTTGATTAAAAAATGAATAGTTTGACTTAAGTAACCCCATACCTCACAGGAAAAAGGTTTAAAAACCTAAAGCTCCTACCCCCGGAGAAAAATGTCTGAAAGAAACACTGGATTTTGTACTTAGACAATCGACACGTTGTGCCAGAATATGTTTGTATCTTTAAAATAATGTCGGGTAAAGTTTGAGCTTTTGATTATTTAATAACTGTTATTTAAATATAGTTAACTGTTTGCTTAATTAATTGGTAATCTGGTTGATGTGTTTCTAAGTGTTTGTTTAACTATTTTATTAAAATTTCTGAATACTTAGTTTAAATGTTTTTCGATAAATCATTTTTAAGTTCATTTGGTTGATTGGTAATTTGATTATTGGAGTTACTGTTTATTGGTTATTTAATGTAATTGAATGGTAATTTGATCATTGTAATTACTGTTTATTGGTTAATTAATTTAATTGATTAGTAATTTGATCATTGGAGTTACCGTTAATTGGTTAATTAATTTAAATGAATGGTAATTTGATAATTGGAGTTACTGGTTAATTGTTTAATTAATTTTATTGAATGGTAATTTGATAATTGTAGTTACTGGTTTATTGAATGGTAATTTGATAATAAGAGTGGCTGGTTAATTGGTTGATTAATGTATGTGCAGACATGTAGGAGACTTCGGTAATCTGATGATCCCCAACAACGGTAAACTGGTGACAAGTTTTGAGGACAAGAAGGCCACACTGTTTGGTGAGGAGAGTTTCCTGGGCAGGTCCATGATCGTGAGTATCAACATACATACATTGGTACATAAAGTATCAACATACATTCATTAGTACATAAAGTTAACAACATACATACATCAGTACACACACAAAGTATCATCAAAGTATCAACATACATTTATCAGTACACACAGTATCAACATTCATTTTTCAGTACACAAACTTATCAACCTACATTCATCAGTACACAATGTTATCAACATACATACATCAGCACACACACAAAGTATCATCAAAGTATCAACATACATTCGTCATTACACAAAGTTATCAACATAAATTCCTCAGTAGACAAAGTTATCAATATACATTCATCAGCACACAAATATATACACATACATGCATGATCGTATCAAGACACATACATCATCAAACACATACTAAGTATCAACACATATACATCAATACACAAATAATCAACTCATATAACAACATGCGTGCATGATTGTGAGTGTCAATATACATACATCATCACACAAAGTATCAACATAATTACATGTTTCAAGTATTCACAAAGTATCAACATACATACATCATACATATATCAGCACATGTAAACAAGTATAACAAGTATCAACATACATACATGATCCTGACTATCAACATACATAAATCAATACACAAAGTATCAACACGTATATATCAGAAATACAACAAGTATCAACATACATATATCAGTGCACAAAATATCATTATACAAACATCAGCACATATACTAAGTATCAACTTACATACATCAAAACACACAAGTATCAAGATACATAACTACATGTCTGTCATCACAAAATACGTATCCACATACACACATCCATGCTGGTCAATTCAGAAATTGTAAATCACACCATTTAGCCACAGACCCAATCGTCAAAAGGCACCTCAAACACTATCAATTGCACGCCATATGCACACAAGTACGCACAAGAACGTAAAACCACACATTCCATTACACACACATATCAACTACACATTTCATTACACACGCATTACACACTACATTACACACATACAACCACACACTCCACTAAACACTACAACAATCTCACAATACATTACACACTACAACAATACACTTCATTACACACTTAAAACCACACACTTTATAACACACAACAACCACACGAACTTTCCACCCACCGCTCACCCTCCCCTCCTCTCCACAGATCCACGCCCTTGAGGATGACCTTGGCTTGAAGGGGGACAGCGGAAGTTTGATGGACGGGAACTCTGGTGCCATGGCCGCCTGCTGTGTCGTCACGCTGGTCAAGGAGGGCGTGGCTGATGACATGATGAAGCCATAGACACACGCCATCACTGCAACAACGTGAGACAACAGCAGAACTGAAGTTCAAACAAAAACCACTTCCGGTCTAATTACTAATCAAAACCTCAGTTTAATAATACCATGTTTTACGAAAGTGGAAATAAATTTGAAATTTCTGTCTCATTTGTGTTGAAAGTTATCTTTATTTGCGTGTCTAATAAAAATCTATATGTTACTAACAAAATAACAACAAGTAATAATACATTTTAGAATTTTTTCCGTTTTTGTGATGTAATTTCTTTTTCACTAGTTGCGGGGGTAACCAAGAAGTATCTTTTTATTTCATACAAAATGGTCAAATGGGTAGATGAAGTAGTGTTGGTCTGTTTATATAATCTTGCCATATTAATTAATAGTTTTATCAGGAATGTGTACAATCGCATTTAGGGTCTAGTTTTTTTCTATACTAAAGTTAGATATCCAAAGAAGATCCGAAGTAATTGAACTCGAAGCCTTTTGGTTGACATTGGTGCGCTCTACCCACTCGACCACGCCGATCATTGCTTAAATATAAGGAAACATTTTTTACCTACCATGATACCAGTGGAGTTATTATTTCGGCTATACGTTTAGAATAATATTTTTTCTTTAGTATGTTACCCTAACTCTGCCCTGGTCATTACAGTACCCATAACTAATCCAGGCTAACCTTGACCCTAACTCTTACAATACTTCAAGGCCAAGTCTTAACACTGACCTTTACGACACTAAATGTAGGGGAAATAATCCACTATAGGACATTGTCCAGTCTTTGTTTTCTTTTTATGGGAATTGTAAGACATAGCAAAAACCTTCACACAATCCTAAGGATGAATCATATAGGCCCAGCCCTCTATGTTATGGGATGGTGTTGTCGACTGGTAGAACAGACGACTGCTAACACGAAAGTCTCGAGTTCGAATCTGGGTACACATCAGTATAACGTCCCAGAACTAATCCAGCTCTATGGGTTACCTGACTGTTAGGGAAAGAAGTAAAAGCTGTGGGGCAAAGTGCTAACTACAGTATCCTTTTATATGCCCAGTTCACATGAGAACTCTACTTCACCTGCTGCACAGACCAGTAGGCTCGAAAAGAAGCCTTACTTTAATCCTATATCTTAACACACTTCACATGTTTTTATCCATACCTTATACTTTGACGATAATATTCGTACTTGACTCAGGCAGGTCCATAGCTTAAAATCTTCCGGATCGCTCTACCCCCCCACCACTCCATCTCCTCTAGGTGTCTATCATCCAGCTAGATAAACACTTAACACAACGCTAGGTAAACACTGAACACAACACCAGTTTAAAAAAATAGAATCTCAAATTCCGTCTGAGCGATAGCGATGTTTACTTAAAATTTAATCGTCCCGATTTCTTTAAATAAACAAACCTTTTAGTGTGTTCTCTCCCTTGACTGGTATGTGACACATCAGAAACCTGTTTGGGGAGGTAACTTACTTTTTCTATAGCAGATAGCGGATAGTCAATTACTGGTGATAACGGCTATTTTTTTGTGAATACCTGTTTTTGTCAGGTACTTCGTGAGATCTTCTTTACATGACGTCATAAGATTTTATCTGATTTGAACCCAAACCTACCGAACTGTCAGGTGTCGTTACAAGAAACCATCGGCCATTTTTTAACGTCACAAAACGCCTACATTTCAACCCACCCCCACCTAACCTATTTAAGAATATCCAGTCATAAACAGGTTTCTTTTTATATATTTTGTTAACCCCCCTTCTCAAAGTTGCATATTTATCACATGTGCTGGAGCGCCCTACCCCACCCGTCTCCTAGAGTCATTTGTTGCAGATGTGCTGTCAATGGCCTATGTTGACACAATTGGGTGCTGTTTGGGTAGCTATACTTACATAGCACACACACACACAGACACAGACATACAAAGACACACAGACACATAGACACGTACCCTACTTCTATTTGGAGAACTCTAAACCTAGTCTTAAATGTTGACTATTCTCATAGGGAGAGTTTAGTATGATGGTACGGCTAACCCATCATACTTCAGACATACACCCTGCCACAATCGTTCTACATCCTCCCACTCCCGTCATACGCCCTCCTTCCCTCCCCCACCGTACACCCACTTGGCACGCAATACACTCCCCAGCCCGTCATACAAAATCTCCTCACCTCCTTCATACACCCCCACCACCCCAATCATAGTCATATCCCTTCCAACCATACCACACCACACCATACACACACTCACCCACTACTTATACCCTCTTATCTCACTCACACAATTACACGCCCCACCCCCATCATGGATTTAAGTACAACATTAGTATCAAATTATGACACACCTCTACGACTCAGACCCCAGCACCCTCCAACCCCGCACCCGTTACCCCCAAACCCTCGCACCCCCAAACTCTGTAACCTGCACCCTGTACCCTCCATCCCCAATCTCCGTACCGTCTACCCCAAACCCTCGCACCCCCCCCAACCAGTGGCGTAGCGAGGTCGGGTGTCACCCGGTGCGGCACTTAATGGTGTCACCCCCCAGAGGCGTAGCGACCCTTCCCGGGGACACATTTACGATTTGCACCCCCCTCAAGTTTTCGATTTGCACCCCCCCCCCCCTCAAACTTTCGATTTGCACCCCCCCCTCAAGTTTTTCTCTATATATTTTGCGATTTTTTGCCTTGGTGTCACCCCCCCCCCCCCTAAATGGTGTCACCCGGTGCGGCCCGCACCCCCCGCCCCCCCTCCCCCCCCTCGCTACGCCTCTGCCCCCAACCCTTGTACCCCACATCCCCACACCCCCACCTCCCTAAACCTTATCACCCAGCCATTAACCCCATCAATAAAACGGTAAATCCTAAAACCAGACCGTGAATACACGATGTTTATCCCAGCGGGTCTCCCGTCAAACAGGATGTTAAACGTCGGCCGGTTATTTTCGTGTCTTCGGTTATTTGTTGACAGAATTGATATCCCAGTTCTCCCAACAGTTAAAGACATCGGGAATTACTTCCCTTAAACTTTCATGATGAAAATAGCTCCTAGCGCAAATTTCGTGAAAAAGAAACGGACAATAAGTTAAATAATCAACAAAGGCGTGATTTGAATTGCTTACATAAGGAAATAAAACTTGAACTCGATTATAATCTTTAAATAGTAAAGAAGTAAATATTCCTCTTTAGACCTAACGTTCCATTGGGCAGATAAAATGGAGTACTTATGTTTCTTGACCTCGGCATATAAAGGAATAATGTGGTCTGCACTATGCCCAGCCGCCTTTACTTTCCCTAACGTGAGTTAGGTACCCATCAGAGTTGGGTGGACTCGGCGACGTTCCACTAGCTTGAACCCGGATTCGAACTCGAAACTATCGGGTTAGCAGTTTACCGCCTACCGCTAGACCAAGCCATTCCATGATCTTTAAATAGATTAGATCTTTAAAAAAAATCAATTATAATTTTACAAGAGAGGTAACTCTGCCAGTCAGTGATAACAAGCGGGCTTCATCAATCAACCTGTCAGTAAATTAAGCAAATTCGTCTTTGTTCATCAATTTAAAAAAACCCACCTATTTGAAACAAGGGGCGTGTCCGCCAATTCAAGCAAAGAAATAAAATAAAAATAAATTTAAAAAATGATTAACTTTACTGGGTTGAATACGAGATAGGGATTTCCTTACCCATCTGTATCTTAATCAAAACTTTTTCAGCCCCCCCCCCTCTACCTGTCTTCCCTGCCGCCTAACCTAAATGAATGTCAGTAAATCTAAACACCGAATTAAACCATCGCTAGACTTATCGTACTTTTAAGAAAAAACTTCTTACATCAAACATCCGGAATTCACTTCCTGGTAGCGAGAATATTGATAGCCTCCTTCTGAACGTTCAGTTATCTGTCAGTTTTTTGGGCCTCTATCCCAACCATATGCGGACGTGTGTGAAAACTGGAATGTAGTTGTACGACTGTTCTTCTAAAAAAATCAGTACGGAACCTGAAGAAAAGTTATACATTGTTCAATGGACTACAATTCTTTTTGTTTCGTTATGATATATTAATGCTTACAGTCATACTAAAAAAGTTTTTGTGACGTGGATGATGGTTCTATCTTTAGTTTAATGAAACAGTATTTCAATCTAGTAGAGTCAACTTGACTATGGGGATTGTAGCTGTATTCAAAATAGTTGTGTTACTGGTCTGCTCGGCTGACTTGTGTAAGTATACTAGATCTTCATGTATATTGATTTGATGTATATATGATGTATATACATACATATATATATATATATATATATATATATATATATATATATATGTATATATATATATATATATATATATATATATATATATATATATATATATATATATATATATATATATATATATATATATATATATATATATATATATATATATGTATATAAATATATATATATATATTAAGAGCTGTTATACATAGGCTTATATATATATATTATATGAGTGTGTAAAAATATGAATATATATATTTATATCATATTATATATATATCTTATATGTAAATATATCTCATAATATAATATATCTTCTATATATATTATTTATATGTATATAAATACTTATACTTTAATTTATTTGTAATTAAAAAACTAAATTAAAAATGTATATGTACGCTATTATTGAATCCAGGTCATGCATGTAATCCAGTGCCTGTGTTCTCAACCATCCAAGTTACCTGTACACCCAGTATCCCAACAAATCACACTGTGCAGTGGATGTCGCCCAACAATACAGCCCTGTTAACGTGTGATGCAGACCAATCTTGTCCCAACCACCCAAATTTTTCCGTGATGAATACACACGTTTCTCCCTACACAAGCACACTAACCGTACACAACTTGAGCATTCCGTTGAGAAACGAGATCAACCCGTTGTCCTGTTTATTTGACGACAATGATAGAGTAGACGCCTCCTGCATTCCCGAAGTATACAGTAAGACACAGTTTTAAGTTAAAGTTTAACTTTATCCATACTAGTGTACCCGTCCCCCTGTCGAAATATATAAGACGGGTTTCATCAATGCGTTACCAATCATATATTCTTAGACGCCTGACCTTGTTTTCTAAAAGTGAGTTATTTAAATGTAAACAATCCCTTTGCAGGTTTACCTACACTACCTTGAGTGTACGGTAATCACTCACTGAAATAATGAGGTAGAACACACTTCGGTGACCCCCCCATGTGTCAGGGACGTAGAGGGGTGCTCTCAGGAGCCCCTCCCCCCCGATTTCACTACCGCATAGGCGCCGCGTACGGCCCCTGGCTCCTTAAAACTAACAGACGCCATCGTGCCAAATAGCATCCAGTTAATAATGATGCAGATTGCGTCATTCACTAAAGTGACACAAATGAACAGGATTTTTTCTTTAACACGTAAAAAAATAGTGAGACGGATGCAATATGTTAGCATTACTAATGGTCTATTATTAGATGCTCGATATCAATTTCTGATTGAATTGTCTAAAAATAGATGCTAATTGCATCGTTCGCAAAGTGACGAAACTGTTTGGATTTTTTTACGGACAAAAAGAAACATCACAGTTAATAATCTAATCTTGGTTAATTTTTCTGATTATTAAAATAAAACGTATTACATGGCCCTCAGCGGCCTATGTGAGCTTTTGAAATTTTTGTTTGCAGCCAAATCGCACCCTACCAGGGCGCCAGAGGACACGCCTGATTAATGTAGTGAGCGCTTGTAATGCCCCATCCTATCCATTGTCTATCACACTGTTTAGACCAAACGTAGTCGCCATAGAGCTCACGGGAAAGACCAGGGCGCCAAATCGCATCCTGCCGGGGGGGGGGGGGGGCGCCCATGCAAAATTAAATCCCCCCTCTCAACACCACCCACCCACCCCCACCACCTCTCCCGCCCCAGAAACCTTCTCGGGAATTATTCATCCTTCCTAAATTTTTATGGCACCCGGTTAAACTGTGTAGAACCGCAATCGTCTTTTTTTAAAAATATACCGTATATAGGGAAAAATACCACCATCCCGTGGCGCCGCCCTTGCGAAATTAAAAATGTTTTTTTTACAGAACCCTTCCAGGTAGTGTTCTAATCAACTCCCCAAAGTTTGATATCGATCGGATAAATGGTGTGAAACTGCAATCGACGTTTATTTTTATATAGCGTATATTGAGAAAAAACAAATCGCGCCCTACCAGGGAGCCACCCCTGCGAATTCGAAATATTTTTTTGCGCAAAAGCCTCCACAGAAATATTCACAACAACTTCCCAAAGTTTCAAGGCGATGTGATAAGAGGTGTAGTAATGCATAAAAGTCAGACATACAGACAGACACACAAACATACATTGCTTTATATATATATATATATATATATATATATATATATATATATATATATATATATATATATATATATGTTACCGAGTCTATTTACTTGTAGTGCCAAATGTTACCGATTTCACTGCTGACAGCGCCAAATGTTACCGAGTGTATTTACTCGTGCTACCTTTGACCAGCACACAACATCGACCACAATATAGATACTCGGAAATGCAGGTTTACATTGATCTCTTTATTACATGAATCAATAGAAATGCTCCACATAACAATGCATCAATGTTCCACAAGAATACAATGAACCAACTGACCCCCACTGTCCTCACTAGTCCTCACATAACAGAATACACGTGTCCATCGTTCCTATTCTCACTTAACACAATACGTCTACACCGTTCAGCCTCCAACTTGGTACTGCCTCGTCTCCAATACGCAGCCTTATATTATATCCCTCGTATACGCAATACTTTCCAATCGTTGCATCAAATTATTAACTGCGCAGCGGCTTATCGTATCGCTTCCCAAGATACGCCGTGGCTTTGTGTTCTTATCAGTCCACCACCTGCACTATTGCGTCAGACTGTAATGCGTTCTTACAATAGTCTTTAGTTGACAGACTGTATTACGTTCTTATCGTCCCTAGTAACTACACTAGTTACATATATATATATATATATATATATATATATATATATATATATATATATATATATATATATATATACATATATTAATATATATGTTTAAAGTTTTCCTATTTTTTAACCACTTAGCTGATGTTATTTGAAGGATTAAAGACAATTTTTCTTTCATTGTTACCGTATAGAATGAGTTCAATAATAAAAAAATGAGGTAGACTATGATATTTTATATTTTATGTTTTTCAACCTAAAATCTTGACTATGGCCAGGGGTACCTGTGTTCACCAGCTGCAAAAACACTACATTAACTGACCTCAACACGGAGATAAACATCACTTGCATGGCAAAAGATCTGTATCCAAACAACAATACGTGTACATTTTACAAAGATATCAACTTCGTAAGAATACAGATATATGTTATTTAAAAGACATCCATCAAACCTTCAATACGTCCATCCTACTATCCATTCATTTATTCATCCATTCGTCCATCCGTTCATTCGATCATGCGTTTATTAGTTTATTTGTTCGTTCGTTCGTTCATTCGTTCATTCTTTCATTCGTTCATTCGTTCATTCGTTCATGCGTTCATGCGTTCATTCGTTCATTCGTTCATTCGTTCATTCGTTAATTCGTTCATTCGTTCATTCGTTCATTCGTTCATTCGTTCATTCGTTCATTCGTTCATTCGTTCATTCGTTCATTCGTTCATTCGTTCATTCGTTCATTCGTTCATTCGTTCATTCGTTCATTCGTTCATTCGTTCATTCGTTCATTCGTTCATTCGTTCATTCGTTCATTCGTTCATTCGTTCATTCGTTCATTCGTTCATTCGTTCATTCGTTCATTCGTTCATTCGTTCATTCGTTCATTCGTTCATTCGTTCATTCGTTTATTCATTCATTCATTCATTCATTCATTCATTCATTCATTCATTCATTCATTCATTCATTCATTCATTCATTCATTCATTCATTCATTCATTCATTCATTCATTCATTCATTCATTCATTCATTCATTCATTCATTCATTCATTCATTCATTCATTCATTCATTCATTCAGTCATTCATTCAGTCATTCAGTCATTGAATCATTCAGTCATTCAATCAATCAGTCAATTGATCATTCAGTCATTCAGTTATTCAGTCATTCAGTCATTCAATCATTCAGTCATTCAGTCATTAAGTCATTAAGTCATTCAGTCATTCAGTCATCCAGTCATTCAATCATTCAGTCATTCAGTCATTCAGTCATTCATTCATTCATTCATTCATTCATTCATTCATTCATTCATTCATTCATTCATTCATTCATTCATTCATTCATTCATTCATTCATTCATTCATTCATTCATTCATTCATTCATTCATTCATTCATTCATTCATTCATTCATTCATTCATTCATTCATTCATTCATTCATTCATTCATTCATTCATTCATTCATTCATTCATTCATTCATTCATTCATTCATTCATTCATTCATTCATTCATTCATTCATTCATTCATTCATTCATTCATTCATTCATTCATTCATTCATTCATTCATTCATTCATTCATTCATTCATTCATTCATTCATCCACACTTCACAAATCACAGTCGCAGCCCTACAGAGAAGTGACGACAATGCGAACATCACCTTTTGGCGATTATTTTCAAGCCACCTGTCAGCTGACCATCAACGTGACCAAACTGTCCAATGGGAACAACGACTTCTATCCAAGGATATCTGTATATAACCAGCCATCTGTCTCAAATGTTCCAACAACTATTCAAATAAGTAAGGAATACATTTTTAAATGCTTCTTCTTTGTCTTCCAATCGACGCTTAAAAATACCCTGTATGTGAAGATTTATTATATCACTGTTCATGAACAAATTACATATTAGGGTTCGTTTATAAATGACATTAGACTGTTTTCCCAAGGTTTTACCTCCCCCCTCCCTCTCCCGCAATGGTTACAAAAAGCCTGATATCTAGCGAGCATGACGTGACTCTTTATCAGTACTGGCCTTTTGTCCATGTCGGCCTTTTGTATGTCGGCCTTTTTCGTTTTACGCCTATATTTAATTATATTTCGACCTATAGTATCACTTATTGTATGGGATGGCGTGGTGTAACGGTAGAGCTAACCCGATCTTCTCGAGTTCGAATCGAGTTTTTTAAAAAATAATATATAGAACGTCTGAGTCTGATGGGTACCTAACTCACGTTTGGGAAAATAAAGGCGGCTGCGCATAGTGCTGACAACACCAACCTTTCATACACCGAGGTCACTGAAACAGGGGAACTCTACTTCACTTGCCCCACGGACCGTCAGGAAACTTCACTGTTTTAGTCTGTTGAATTACTTTATCATGTTCAAATGTTCAAATGTGAATTTTAACTGTAATTGTTTACGCCGTTCATTTTGCTTAAAGTATATCCTAATGAACTGAGTGCCTTAAAGATCGGTCGAGTGGTAGAACGAACGTTTACGAACCCTAAAGACAAAAGTTCGAATCCCGGCTAATCTGCCTGAATTCCCCATTAACTATCTGCCGAAGTTACAAGATCTGTAGATAAAATTCAACAATTTAACCAATCAAAATTTAGCTGAATATTTTTCTTTCTTAGGATCGCCAACCGCAAGACTGGGATCTGGGTGTAGCGATCTGATCTCCGGGCTCACAGGTTACATTGTCAAAGGGGGAGAAGCCAGCTGTACATGCGAGATCACAGACCCGGGTTATCCCCCTGGTAATGTGCAGTGGTTCACGGAACGGCTAACACCTGTTGGTGACGTCGACAAGGTGAAAGGAACAGCCACGTTAACAATAGACTTTAGTAAAGAAGGCGAGTTCTAAGTAACATAGAGCTAGGTTATACACACACATACACATATATATATATATATATATATATATATATATATATATATATATATATATATATATATATATATATATATATATATATATATATATACATATATATCTATATATATATATACATATATATATATATATATATATATATATATATATATATATATATATATATATATATATATATATATATATATAAAATGAAAATAAATATGCATCTCTCTTCCTATATCTCTCACTATATATTGATATCTTTAGATCTATATATTTATAAATCTATATACATAGATATTAGTATAGGTATAGATATAGATATAGATATTGACATAGATATAGATATTGATATAGATACAGGTACAGGTACAGTTACAGGTACAGGTACAGGAACAGGAACAGGAACAGGAACAGGTACAGGTACAGGTACAGGTATAGACACGGACACGGACACGGACACGGACACGGATACAGATACATCTATAGATATAGATATCTATCTTTATATATATATATATATATATATATATATATATATATATATATATATATATATATATATATATATATATATATATATATATAATGTGTATATATATTTGTTTATATATATATATATATATATATATATATATATATATATATATATATATATATATATATATATATATATATATATATATATATATATATATGCCCATATATAGTTTTGTATATATCTATCTGTATATTTGTTTATATGTATATAATATTTATTTTTATTTATGTTATGTATATAATTATAAATAAATTTATATATACTATAAAGGTTACATTCACATAGATATAAACTTTGATATTTTCTATTTTCAGACACGGAGCCAAAATATCTTTGTAAAATTTTCACAGTTCGCGAAAATTTTACTGCACAGAATTTGATACTACAGAAATATGGTGATTTTTTTTCTTTCGTTAAGTATTTTAAAATGTTGAACTATAGTCGTTTTAGCATTGTTTTATAATTGTAGTACTAGAAAAGAACACCGGATGTACACCTAAACCACTATATATATATATATATATATATATATATATATAGCCTTAGACAGGAATATTTCTTGTATTGGGGGTAAGAGTTAATAAGGTATTATCCAAAATCATATAAATTCTCCTTATCAGCCCCATGAACCGTCTGATCTTGCTCTAGAAAAATTAAATGGTAACAGATTATTATATTCATGTCTTACAGCCCGGCTAAAGGGGTAGTTAGTGAATCGATATTTGTAAATGAGAAAAAAATGAAAAACTTGGTCTAAATTATATAAAAGATTTAATTGCTCTTGTAAAAGATTTAAACTAAATTAGTTATACGTTATTTTAAACTAGATACATATTGCAGAGTTTCTGATTCGTGTTTTGTGACGAAAATTTAAATAAACAAACTGTTGAACATTGGGTCAATTTAAATATAATATTGACAGACCCTAAGAAAAATTAGCATTTTATAAAGTTACCTCCCTTACAAGTTCTCCGAATAAAGTCATAGTTTGTAAGTTTTAACGGGATTTCGAAGCTTTGCTAAAGAGTATACTTCTTTTTCTATTACCACCGGGGATCGGTATAGGAAAGTTCGATCGGTATTGTTGATGGGATAATCTTTTCATACGTGTTAGTTTATAAAAGGAGGTGGTCACTCGCGGTCATTTTTAGCCCTCGGCGAGATTGTAGAGTGAATCAACGAGGTCTGTGCAAATTATATACCCATTGCATTGTATTAATGCGTCTGAATGCTTTGCCCTAAATAGTATAAAGATCGTCTGTTTTATGTGTTAAAAATGTGAATTTTACACTTTTGCATTCTACTCTCTGGTAGTTTTTATAGCGTATAATGTTTTTAATCCACCCCCAGCTCCGCCGACATTGTTGTCGTCGACGTCAGACCTGGAGAAGTTCACAGTATCAGAGAACGGCAACGTCTACATCATCATACACATCTACAGCAACCCACGGCCGTTTACTTTTTCTTTAACCGTAGAAAAAAAATCAGCGAATTTCACCGTCGCTCAACAAAAATACACGACCTTGGTGACCTTCAAGTCCATATGGCAAGGTCAAGTTAATCTGGCCATATTGGACATAGGCCCAGACGATATGGGCACATATACCATGACAGTCGGTAATGGCCAATACCCAGATATGGTGTATCGTTTCATACTTGAAGGTATCTGTTGACGTTGTTTTATTCTAATTAAATTTTAAAGATACATGCTCAAAACCCCTTTTAAAATACACCAGTAAATTCTTCTTCATCTTCGTTCTTAATTTTTAGTGTTGGGAGGGATCGAGCCTTATTCGCCAGAGAGTATGAACTCTAGACTTTTTTTTTTCGAATTTATCAACCATGAGGTTTGCCGACTCGACCATTCTTCCACCACAATTAAGGATTACGTGTCAACTGGTTATGCGCCATTGAGGCCATTGACTCCGATTTCAGCCTGCTTTTTTTTTGGATTTGCTTCCATAGCCTTTATACAACCAAGAACAAACTGCAAGGCAGCAGTTGTTTGATTTTTGGAGTTGTCTCTCCTAGAAGAGTGGCTGTCCCCAGCTAACGAGCCTCACCAGTAAATAATAAATTCGATACTTAAATTATTTTTTAAACTCCAACCTTTAAAAATATTTTTCTCCTTTTTTTTCCCGACTTTCCTTTGATCAGAAGAGACAGACTACACACCTATAGCGATTGGTGTTGGCGTGTCTGTTGGTGTCCTCCTCATCGTTGCTGTCGTTGTCGCTGTCGTCTGTTACTTGAAGAGGAGGTCAGTGGGTAGGGCACCTAGAGCGTCAACGCCAGCCAAACCAAACGGGAACTACAGCAGTACGACGCCGAAGCAAACGGATGAGCATCAGTACGAGACTTTAACCTCACCCAACACGACACGTGAGTTGTTTTCTTTTATGTGTGGGTGTGAGTGAGTGCGGGAGAGTGCGGGGTATGTCTGTGTGAGTGTATGAGTGTATAAAGTGCGCGCATTTACGTGTGTGTGTGTTTGTATATTTAGGGATGCGTGTGTTTGGTGTGCGTTCATTTCTCATTGTGTGTATGTGTGTGTGTGTGTGGTAGGGTGAGGGATACTTTCTTCTTCTTCTTTGTTCTTAATTTTTAGTCTTGGGAGGGATCGAGTCTTATCTGCCAGAGGGTTTTGAACTCGAGACTTTTTTTCGAATTTATCAACCATTAGCTTTGCCGACTCGACCATGCTCCCAGCACAATTAAGGATTACGTGTCAACTGGTTATGCGCTATTGACGCCATTGACTCCGATTTCAGCCTGCTCATCTTTTTGGATTTGCTTCCATAGCCTTTGTCCTACCAAGAACAAACTACAAGGCAGCAGTTGTTTAATTTTGGAGTTGTCTCTCCTAGAAGAGTGGCTGTCCCCAGCTAACGAGCTTCATCTGCCCGAGGGTTCGAACTCGAGACTTTTCGGTTTAGCAACCATGATCTTTTACCGACTCGACCACGCCGACTCCCAAGTGAGGGATATAAATATTATCTTCAACAGGACTTACCTGCAGTTCATTTTTGCGTCTATTGCAATCATATCCTGGCCCAAATTTTTTTACGCGTGTGTGTGTAAGTGTGAGTGTGTGTATGAGTGTATATGTGCATGCATGTATGTGTAAGTATGTGTGTGTGGTGGGGTGGGAGGTACAAATATTATCTCCAACATGACTAATTAACACTTCATTTCTTTGCGTGTATTGTAATCATATTCGTATCCCGAACCCTACGCTAGTCCCTAATCTTGACCCTAGCCCTAACCCAAAGAGCAGTACAGATTGGAAATATACTTGAAACATTACGACATTATAATACTCTGGGGAATCATTACAGCACCCCCACACAACTCTGATGAGTACATCATCACGTTAAGGAAAGTATAAGCGGCTGGGCATAGTGCTAAAAACACTACACCTTCATATGCCAGAGTCACCGAAACAGGTTAACTCTACTTCACCTACCCAATGATGGATTGCCAGGCTCGAAAGGGCTCTTGTACTTTTTTTTTTTTTACTTTCAGAATACTAGACTTAAAACTAAAATTGTTTCTTCCCTAGATATCCAAATTCAGTCGGCCGCTACGCCACCAAAACAGAAGCCGGAGGTGAATCAAAAAGACCAAACACTGGTCAAAACATTGCACACCAAGGCTAAAGACAATGTACAAAAACCAACAACATCTGTGGTAGAGGTAGCAGAGTACGCCAACAGTAAAAGTATTGCGGCTGCAGATGGGGTAGAGGAGATTTACGAAAATTAGAGTTGTATGTCTGTGTGCTATAGGTGATCTCGTACAATGAAATATATATGAATAATAATAATAATAACACTGCCTTCATATATGAGGATTGTATACAGTAAAATGGGCCTTCTGTGCATAGAGGAGGAGCTATAACTGAGTGTAAGAGTAAAGGTTTGGGTTAGGGGAGGGTAAGGTGCAGTGGAGGGGTTAGTGAAAGGATGTGAATATATGTGAGATTGGCGTAGTATGGTAATGGTGAATACAAATGTTTAAAGAGATAATGGAATATGGGTGTACAATGGGATATAGTGGTACAATGGAGTGGGGTGGTAGAATTGAATATGGTGGTTAATGAAATATGGTGGTTTAATGGAATATCGTGGTACATTGGGATGTAGTGGTACAATGGAATATGGTGGTAAATTGTTATATGATGATACAATGGAATATGGTGGTGAATTGTTATATGATGATACAATGGAATATGGTGGTAAATTGTTATATGATGATACAATGGAATATGGTGGTGAATTGTTATATGATGATACAATGGAATATGGTGGTGAATTGTTATATGATGATACAATGGAATATGGTGGTAAAATGGAGTATGGTGGTAAAATTGAATATGATGGTAAAATGAAATATGATGGTACAATAGATATGATGGTACAATGGAATATGGTGGTTCAATTGAATATGGTGGTACACTTGGGTTTGGCCAAAATAATGTGAGGAGATTTTGTCCCAATCAAACAGTAGCAAAAAGAATATGTTCAATAGTAATAATTGTGACGAACAAGTTTAGTCAGCATCATACAGCGACAATGTGAACATAAAAATGTGACTATGTGACAATTTGATAATGTAAAAATGTAAAAATATGACAATATGTAAACATGTAAAAATATGACAATGTAAAAAATGTAAAAATGTGATTATATAAAGTGTGATACTGTAAAAGTGTAACAATGTTACACTGTGACATTTTGATAACGTGAAAATATGACAGTGTTATGTGATTATATGAAAGTGTGAAAATGTGACAATGTTATGTGATAATGTGACAATGTGAAAGTATGACAAAGGAAAATACATCACGACACCGCTGGTAAAACTAGACGTTTTGTCAAAGTGAACAAAATATGTCTTTTATGTGAACGAGTGAGTCAGACTTACTCATAGATCGATGTACTGCAAGTGATACACATTAATTTATTCTTAACCTTAATTTATTAATGTAAGTAATGTAACTATATAACCAGCGGACTACTGCTTTTTTAAATAATCCAAATTATTTTAGTTTGAACACTTTTATTAATGTATGTATCGTATGAGGTTAATCAATATATTTTTAATTAGTATTTTTTTTAAAACAATGAACTATTGCTAGTGTGATGATATCATAAAGTAAAGCTCTTCATTACAACAAAGCTCATTTACTCAGCTTTAATACATTCCGAGCATTTTATTGTTCTACTTGCCCATTAGTCTATACATTTAATAAGGAATGATTGAAGACAAGGGCGGGTTCGATTACGTTTCGAACCCTGGTTCCTCGGTGGTTTAGGAAAGTTAAAGCACATAACAAATTATATTTATGTTTTAACACACTGCGTATATTAAAGATCTAATAAACAACTTGTATTTTGTGTTGTTGTGTTTTTCTCTAACAAACTGCAGATTAAAATGAGCGAAAAGAAAAAAATAAACTACGACATTCCAGAGTCTCGTAAGTAATCGCTCTGATTTTAAGAGTGTGAGTTTAGATGAAAGCTGAGTGCTTTGTTATAAATTAATTAGTTATGCTGATTACTTTAACTCATTATAATGTTATCTCCTGATACAACATGTATCATTAAGACGTCCAATTAAAAAATTCCCAGCAATAATAAAACTTCATTTACAAAGCTTCTTTTCCCTAAATCATTCGAGTATTTAACTTGACGTCAGCATACCCCCCCCCCCCCCCCCCCCAACTCCTCCATAATCATTCACTCCACTGTGTGGTATTTAAGTAAAAGACATCACAAAATGTAATCTCCACACTCTATAAACTGATTACGTCAAGGTTTTATGTTTTGCGATAACTTCCATTTTCGCTGTCATTAATAAGGGCAATGCTGATGCTGATTTAATACCTGTGTTTTTTTTAAATAAAACAAGTTAATTAAAAAGTCTAGTGACATTAAAGCGCAATTTCCGTATTGTTACGGGCCAGTTGTAGGTTAGTTTAGAATAGGTTAGAATAGTCTAGAACTAGGGGAGAGAGCGTGTGTGAGTGGAGTTCACCCTACTGTGTAGTTACCCTTGTGTGTTTATGTCTTGTGGTCCCAAGGTCGAATGCGGGTATAAAAGGGCGAGTGAACGATTGTGGGGGGGGCAGTCAGCGAGTTAGTAGCGGTTAGGACGGAGCTGTTCTGGTACGCTTGAATGCATTGAGACGAATAAAAGTAGTGAAGTTGTACACGAAGTGTTGTCGTTGATTTGAAACGAACCCAGAACGTAACAACTGGTGGCCAGTATGAATCAAGTAGAAGCATAAACTTGATGCTGTCCTGTCGTTTGCCTGATGCTGTCCTGATGTTTGCCTGATGCTGTCCTGCCGTTGCCTGATGCTGTCCTGTCGTTTGCCTGATGCTGTCCTGTCGTTTGCCTGATGCTGTCCTGTCGTTTGCCTGATGCTGTCCTGTCGTTTGCCTGATGCTGTCCTGTCGTTTGCCTGATGCTGTCCTGTCGTTTGCCTGATGCTGTTCTGATGTTTGCCGGTTGCTGTCCTGATGTTTGCCGGTTGCTGTCCTGATGTTTGCTGGTTGCTGTCCTGACGTTTGCCGGTTGCTGTCCTGATGCTTGCCGGTTGCTGTCCTGACGTTTGCCAGTTGCTGTCCTGACGTTTGCCAGTTGCTGTCCTGACGTTTGCCAGTTGCTGTCCTGACGTTTGCCAGTTGCTGTCCTGACGTTTGCCGGTTGCTGTCCTGACGTTTGCCGGTTGCTGTCCTGACGTTTGCCGGTTGCTGTCCTGACGTTTGCCGGTTGCTGTCCTGACGTTTGCCGGTTGCTGTCCTGACGTTTGCCGGTTGCTGTCCTGACGTTTGCCGGTTGCTGTCCTGGTGTTTGCCGGTTGCTGTCCTGGTGTTTGCCGGTTGCTGTCCTGACGTTTGTTGGATGCTGTGGGGATGCCGTTAGCCCGACGCTATAGCTGTTTGACAGAGTATGTAACAACATCGACTGTGAGTTGCAAATTTTTGTGATGTAGAAGTAGGAGTAGGAGTCGTAAACCAGTGTAGCCATAGAGCGCAGGTTGACTCAAATTTTTTGTGATGTAGAATGGTTGAGATATAGGTAGGAGTCGTAAACAAGTGTAGCCATAGAGCGCACAGGGTAGACTCAAATTTTTGTGATGTAGAATGGTTGAGATATGAGTAGGAGTCGTAAACCAGTGTAGCCATAGAGCGCACAGGGTAGACTCAAATTTTTGTGATGTAGAATGGTTGAGATATGAGTAGGAGTCGTAAACCAGTGTAGCCATAGAGCGCACAGGGTAGACTCAAATTTTTGTGATGTAGAATGGTTGAGATATGAGTAGGAGTCGTAAACCAGTGTAGCCATAGAGCGCAGGTTGACTCAAATTTTTTTGTGAGGTAGAATGGTTGAGATATGAGTAGGAGTCGTAAACCAGTGTAGCCATAGAGCGCACAGGGTAGACTCAAATTTTTGTGATGTAGAATGGTTGAGATATGAGTAGGAGTCGTAAACCAGTGTAGCCATAGAGCGCAGGTTGACTCAAATTTTTTTGTGAGGTAGAATGGTTGAGATATGAGTAGGAGTCGTAAACCAGTGTAGCCATAGAGCGCACAGGGTAGACTCAAAAAAATTGTGGTCTGGAAAGTCTTAGATTCGGTACGATGCAACTGGGTGTGTATGATTTTTTTTTTGTTTGTTAGTTACACGGATGATTTGTGCTAGCTCGAAATTGTAGCAGTTCTGTATGTTGTCATTATGTATTTCATTGTATATACAATCTGTCATATACATTCTTCGGAATGTATATTTTTAACTTGTCTACTAGTGTATGTGTATGAAAGGCTTTGTGTTTTTTATTTGGCTAGGATTTGTTAGTCAGTATTTGTAGTTATTACTACAAATACTTAGGTGGGGGGTAGTGTTACGGGCCAGTTGTAGGTTAGTTTAGAATAGGTTAGAATAGTCTAGAACTAGGGGAGAGAGCGTGTGTGAGTGGAGTTCACCCTACTGTGTAGTTACCCTTGTGTGTTTATGTCTTGTGGTCCCAAGGTCGAATGCGGGTATAAAAGGGCGAGTGAACGATTGTGGGGGGGGGGGGGGGGGGGGGGGGGGCAGTCAGCGAGTTAGTAGCGGTTAGGACGGAGCTGTTCTGGTACGCTTGAATGCATTGAGACGAATAAAAGTAGTGAAGTTGTACACGAAGTGTTGTCGTTGATTTGAAATGAGCCCCAGAACGTAACACGTATATTATCTAAAAATAGCTCTGTCGTAGCGTAAATCAAGAGCAAGGTTAGTAAAACCAATGGTTAGTTATTAAAACGTTTTTTTATTAATTTTTTTTCAGTATTTTACATGTTTTATTTACAATAGAGTTACATGACTAAAAACCATTGCGCGCCTACTGAACGTGATGACGCAGCCATTGAACGTGATGGCGCAGCTATTGAACGTGATGACGCGTGTGGTGTGGTTGGATAAATATGCCTACTAATTCGGTCCAAATTTTAATTAATTAAAAAAATATTTTGTGACCGAACGAAAGGATATTTTTGAAAACTGTCTTCGGCAATATTGTTCTAAATTATGGCAGGAATCGATTGGTTCATGTTTCAAGTCGCTAAGTGGTCTAGTTGCCGAGATATGGGCCAAAAACAGTTTTTTGGGAGGTTTTTTGGCTTTTCCGGGAAATCCATGAAAGAAACCCGTAATTTATGGCCTATGTTCATCCTCGTAACTTGCTTAACATAATTGCTTTTGGAACTGGTCATCGATAT